TTAAACCTGAGGGACAAATCTTTTTTTTAATGATATGAATTGTAATAGTTTTAGAAAAATATTTATTTTCTATAACTATTTTATTGTATGTGTATGTAAAGATCCATTTACATGACAAAAATGCAAGAATATTGTAGCTCATTTATGAAAATCAAAGCCTATTAGATGCATATTTGAAATATAAAATAAAGTATACATAAATTTGAATATAAAGGGAATTTGTTACAAAATTATTATACAGTAAGAAGTAATTTTATTATGTTCCAATGTCCCTTATAACATATTTTGTGTTGTCTTAAGGTTAGTGAAATATTTATTATATACATTATATAAATACATTATGCACCAGAAAAAAAAACACATTATGTTTACTTTTTAATAAACAAATAAAACCAATATTTAAAAACCTTACAATGCTAAGCCTAACCTTATTAAAACTCCAGAAAACAGTTTTCTAGTGTCAAGTCCAAAACAACAAAATGAAATTCACTGGGAAACTGTTGACCAATATGTGACTGCGCCGTGTCAAATGAAGCAAGTTTTAACCAGCACAGGATGCCTGCATATTAATTTATTGGTAGGAGGAGCTAAACCCTGCTGCAAGATTGCAAGCCAGCTACCTTGTAACAGGATAGGTTGAATTTTAAACATGTTTAGGCAAGTGCACTTGCAAAAACACATTTTAAAACAGACCAGTAAAAAATATACTCCAAAAAAAAACTGGTTGGGCAAGTAAAAACTTGAAATAAAAAAAATCTTACAGTTAGGTTCCCATTTGGTATTTTGTTTTTTATTCAATGTTGCGATACGAGAAATACTCTATTGATTGTCTCTCAGAAAATAGTAATACTGCTTCCGTCATTTGCACACGGCACTTTCTAGAAGCTTCCTTGTGATTTCTTTAAGCTGCGCATGACAACCTGAAAGACTGTTGGTTAAAGCTCAGTCATGTGATTATTATAATGTTTTTATATTATAATTTTAATGATAAATTTTAACATTGCATTCAACTTATTAGATGGTTGAGATGGGTGCTTCTAGCAGGTTCATGTTGATTCAGTTGCTCAAATATATATATATATATATATATATATATATATATATATATATATAGGCCTATATATATAGGCCTATATATATATATATATATATATATATATATATATATATATATATATATATATATATATATATATATATATATATGTATGTATATAATTGGATACACTTGTGTATTTATAATATCTTTATTTCAGTTCTCTTTTAAATGGTTCAGCACCACAAGGTAAAGTTTGAGTATTTTTAAGTCATCATTGAAATTTCTGCACAAAATATTTTTAAATGTGTTTGAAAGAATATCTTTTAGTAACAGACATAAAATAATAAAAACCAAATTATACCCCTCAGCTGCTGTGGGTGTGAGACACATTTCATCCACTGAAGGAAAACTGTCCTACACTATACCTGAATCTTTAAGACGAAGCACATGTGTTTTTGATTACAAGTATGGAGATTGATATGTAGTTCTATGTAATGTTAGAGGAAATGAGTTTAAAAAACGAGGGATAAATTTATTTTAACCTAGATTTTTTGTGTCTAGTATTTTGTTTTTTTTTGGGCTTTCTATCAACAATATAATCAGTAAACTGGGATTTCATTTTCTGATGGAAACTTAACATTGATATAAATAAAAAATTCTGTATCTTAAAAATAACTAGAAAGCGACACTATTTTCCATCATCACAACTTATTTTTTAAAGATCCATTATAAATACAACATAAAAATGCTTAAGTTTCTAGAATCAGCTTTTGTTATTGCTATGAGATGATTTATAACAAATTTAAGTCAAGATGGCCAAGCTGTTTTTCAAATCCAGAAGAATGGCAAACTTGAGAGACAACATGTTTCAGAAAACTTGCCTTATAACTCCACTTCAGTTGTAAGTAGGCGATTTATGTCTAAATGTATTATATTATTATAATTATATTACTATTATATAATTTATATTATTCATTTAGTAGTTCAGTTATTTAAGTATTATTTTAAAGATACATAATGCTTATTAGCAAATAAAACTGGCTGATTTACATATTCAGAAATCTAAAAGTGTACAAGGAAGCTACTATGTTGTGACATTGGCACTGAAGCAACAAATGGATTTGAATGCACATTTCAAATAAATGGCAAGTTACTATCACAAAATTCAAAGATTAAGTCCCTACATAATAATTTTTCAAATTTACTTTTTGTCAAAGCCTCAATTTAGTCTTATATTATTACTTTATCTGTTCTTGATTTTACTTCTAAATGGATAATGATCATATATATATTATGTCTGATTAAAAAAAATGTTTGTAGATCTGTTAAATAATAAAAATATAAACTTATTTAGTTTGAACATAATTACATTTTTTTAGAACTATTGAATTGATAGTAAACAGCTTTTAAAAATATTTTTTTTATTATTGTTCTTTTGACTCCCAAGATTGCTTAAAGCAGAGACTATACTTTGTCAACACACTAGACTGGTGGACTTTTCACTTCGGCAATGACATTCCAGTTTAGATTTTAAAAATATTTGCTTCTTTTATAAACAAAATTGCTGTTTATTTTGGTCAGGCATTTTAATTGTTACAGAAATCTTTTGTTTACATTCAATTAAGGAGATCCACAGGTCCATCATTTTAAAATTTGTCCTGATTTGCTTTAATGCAACAATAAATTTTAATAGTTTTATTTAGTTTTTAAGTACATTGATATCTTTTTTAAAAGTTTGAGATTTCATTTTATTGAATTTTTAGATTTAAATAGAAATTTATTAAAATAAACTGGAATAATGTTTTTTGCTTTTTATTTGTGAGAATAATAGTGTTTAATCATGTATATTAACAGAAAAAAAGATCAAATGTTACATTTTCTATCACTGAAACACAAAAAGTCAAGAACTATTTTTGAATTAATTAGAAAATATTTTTCCTTTTAAAATTCCTAATCCCCAAAACATAATTTGGGATATACTATAACCCCTATACACAAGAAAGAAAAAAAAATATAAGAAAATCCATTGAAAATACATCACATAATTATAAAAAAAAAATTAATCCTGAAAATACAAACCAGATCATCTTTCCAGTGCATTGCTTTTGGCTTATTTGAAATGTTAGAATGATTTTCCATTTTTAAATAAAAATTTAGATCTAGTCTATATTTAATGTAATACTTTAAAACTATATTCCCCCTTCCCCCCACCCCGAGTAACATTGAGCCTGACCCCCCCCCCCACCAGAAAATGCTGTCACACCTCAGCCTACCATCCTCCTCAAATTTGCTATTATAATATAGATCTATATTTACTGAGCTCGGTCAAAATTGACTATATTTACTCATTTGTGTTTCAATCTCCAAAAATGAGTTTTTAAAAAACATGCAAAATAAGGTTTTCCAAATAACGTTTTAAATTACCAAGGTGTGTGGTCACAATTTCTGAACCTACACCCCCCCCCCCCCCCCCCAAGGAGTTGGACGTCGTTATTTAAAAAAAAATCTGGCATGTTTTGTGTTTTGAACATTTCCCCGGTTTATTTTTTCAAAACTTCTAACTTCAGTCCTATTCCCATTACTCTAGGGCTATCTAGGACCTACTATCAGCCTATAATTTTACAATTATATGTAGATCTAGATCTATTAAGCATTTGAAAAAAAAAAAAAACTATCGTCGTTCAATTCTTCGCTCATCTTCGTATAAATGTCGGTTGATTTGAGCCTGTTTTTTCATATCATCAGACTCGTCGCTAGTCAACACAATCTTATGATTGCAAGCAATCACTCCTTTTATGATACCTTCCGTCACAAAGTCTATTTCCGTTTCTTTCAAATCCTTAGTTTGAACAGACTCAAAGTTTTCAAACTCGTCATGTAAGTTTTTAATATTGTAAACGTAAACCTGTTCGCCGTCTGATTTCTTTTTGATGTAAATAGGGGCTTTGCCTTGTGGTATCGTCATACGGGTGACAACTTTAAACTCTGCGTATAAAGATTTCTCATCCAGTTCGACATTAGCTGTGTAGCAGCTGTTTGGGCCCACTGTGATGTCACTTGTAGCCTCCATGAGAATTGTTTCCTCGAAAGTTTGACCTTCCGATTTTGATACCTTTGTGGTAAAATAGTAAACATTGTTAAAAATATATATTTAAAATTGGCTAATCTGTAGTTAAATACTATATTTAGTTAAGGTTATAGCAATTTTCAGTAAATTAATTAAAGTTATATTATTTGAAATGTTTATTGCTTCTTTAATAGTTTTTAAAGCATCTTATTTGGACGCCAGTGCCACCACCCACACCCCACCCGCCGGAGCAAGTCCACCACCCCCAGACAAAATATTACATACATTTATAGTTTTAAAAAATATATGCTTAAACCAGTGTCCGTCCCTCCCTGAAATGTAAGTGCCCTCCCCCCTCCCTGAGGAAAATGTTTAAAAGAAACACTCGATAGCGTACTAAGTAGCGTAACAAGGGGGGGGGGGGCAGAGGCGTAGCGAACCTTCCCGGCGCCCGGGGACAAACTTTCGATTTGCACCCCCCTCAAACTTTCGATTTGCACCCCTACTCAAACTTTCGATGACTTTTTCCAACCCATTTTGACGCCCCCTAAGGTCGGCGCGGACATATGTCCCCCCTGCCCCCCCCCCATCGCTACGCCTCTGGGGGGGGGGGGGGGGGGGTTAGAGCGGTGCGGACAAACAGCTAGTGGTAAAAAAAATGCACCCAACTTTAATGAGAAAATCTGCTGTACTCAGTAAACTTTCCAAGTTAGTATAGGATCCAACATCTTTTATTATTTATCATTATTATAATCATCTTCAAACACACGGTGACACCGTCTGAAATAAGTTATTTCACTGGGTGTCACTAAACCTAGGGACGCCACCGTGTAAACGAACCATGACCAAAGCACTATGGTTAACTTTAAGACGGAGCCTATTGATGAGTCAGCAGTGAGCTTTGCGCTTCCAGAAAGTCAGGCAGACATGAATAAATAGAGCTCGTTTTTTTTTTTCAAAAACTTTTAAAATATCCGAAAATCTAAACAGGTAAATTGTAGACAATTTAAAGTTGTACACTTAAAAAAATAAATCTACGCCTGATGTTATTGCAATTTAATGGAATAGGTAGGCATATATTAATGTTCGTAAGCCATATCAATCCGATTGGCCGTATTTTGAACGATTTCGCCCCCCTCAACTCACTGCACTAAAAGTCAGAATAAACTACAGTGTAAAAATGACTTTAAAAAAGCCCCCCCCCCCCACCCCCCAGTCACTAGTCCGACCCCCTACGGGAGAGTGTGAGGTCAATCATTAACGCCCCCAAACTTGCCCAAACCATTTAACTAAACTACCATTATTTCTCAAAGGGCCTACTATTGTGCCCAGAGCAAGACAAAATAAAGGCCAAACTTAACAGAAATTTTCACCGATCTTTAAATAAAATAAATCTATTCAAGAATAAAGTATATTTACATATTTTTTTTTAGCGCAATTTCCATTCTGGAGAATTGCGTTTATTAACTCGTCATTTCTGGGAATGGATGGATGAATGAATGAATGTATGGATGTATGAATGTGTGTCCGGGCTTTAAGTCGTATCTCCTCCTCAACGAAGCAATATCGATGGCTAGTTCCAAAAGCAATTATGTTAAGCAAGTTACGAGAATGAACATAGGCCATAAAAATTCCGGGTTTCTTTCATGGATTTCCAGGAAAAGCCAAAAAAACTCGAAAAAATGCAGTTTTTGGCCCATATCTCGGCAACCAGACCACTTAGCGACTTGAAACATGTACCAATCGATTCCTGTCATAATTTAGAACAATATTGCCGAAGAAAGTTTTTAAAAATATCCTCTCGTTCGGTCACAAATTTTAAAATTACATAAACACCTACAAACCGATCGTTCTTCTAGCATGAACGCACCCCAGCATTATACGTCAGAGCTATTTTTAGATAACATAAGGAAATTGCGCATAAATGTCACTAGACTTTTTTAATTAACTTGTTTTTACTAAAAAGATATGAAGTATTTCTTAAACAACAAAATGTATTATTATATTCAAGTAAGATACTTCAAGTAATACAAACGAATCTTAGCTCGTACAAACAAATAGGCATTGGGCCTGTATAATGGACCGTCTTTTGAATGTATTAAAACACTTAAAACCCAAGAATGGTTTTTCTACTTAAGAGTCGTCTCCCCCCCCCCTTCCCACTTAAATCCGCCTTCACACGTTAAACGCAACCTTAAAAGAACAACCGATCTACCTATGGCGAACAGTACACAGTTCTACCGTTATTTCCGTGTTATCGGGCGTCAGACTTTTAATTCCCCTTCGATCAGCCCATCGATCTCACAATCGAACCTTCACCGTATCGATTTTACTCAAAGTAATCAACACGACTCTAGGGGCCTATGTAAAATTCTGCCTACAATGTTGAAGGAGACTTGCACAAACATCAGCACAACGGTGATGTAACACACAGTGGCGTCACTAGACCATGTGCCGTTGTTCGGGGAGTCACCCCCCCTTCAACTCCTGTATTTGCTGTACTAAAACTCTATACTGGTGCCACTCCCCTCTCATCTTGGATGGTGTCACCCTATCCATTAAGTATGTGCGTAAATACATATTTCACCGTTGGTGCCCAAGACACACGGGACAGACATAGTTGATATTATATGTTTTACTGACCTCGGCACACAAGTAGATAGTGAGGTCAGCACTAGAGCTATCTAAGTTTCCCAACGAGAGTCAGGTAACCATCAGAGCTAGATGGACACGCGTCCTGCAGATTCTAGCCCTGAATCATCGAGACTTTCGGGTTAACAATCTGAAGCTTAACCATCCAACCTTATCTTTGCCCATATACGTGAATTGAGTCGTTAAATTAACTACACAAAACAGATTTTCTCTTTAAAATAGGTATTCTTTTAATTAGGTGTCACCCCTCATATGTGGTGTCACCCTTTTGTGTGATGTGACAAAATATGTTGTGTCATCCCTTTGTGTGGTGTCGCCCTTTTGTATGGCGTCACCCCTTTGTATGGTGTCACCCATTTGTGTGATGTCACCCTTTTGTGTGGTGTCACCCCTGTGTGTGGTCTCACAAAATATGTGGTGTCATCCCTTTTGTGTGGTGTCACCGCTTTGTGTGGTGTCACCCCTGTGTGGTGTTACCCTTTTGTGTCGTGTCACCCTTTTGTGTGGTGTCACCCTTTTGTGTGATGCCACCCATGTGTGTGGTGTCACCCATGTGTGTGGTGTGCCCCCCCCCCCCTTTGTGTGGTGTCACCCCTGTGTGTGGTGTCACCCTTTTGTGTGATGCCACCCATGTGTGTGGTGTCACCCATGTGTGTGGTGTGCCCCCCCCCCCCTTTTGTTTCGTGTCACCCCTTTGTGTGGTGTCACCCGTTACAGCCCACATTCACCACCTAGTAACGTTACTGGTAACACATCCCAAAGAATAAACAACCCCCCCCCCCCCCAAAAAAAAAAAGCAAACAATCTACACAAAAACACCGACACAACCAAGGAGTAAAAAATACAGTGCCTGATAGCTGGTCTCGATGGCCAACTCGGCCTTGCTGTCACTGCCATAAGGGATGCCTATGCTGAAGTTTGCCTTGCCTCCAATCGTGAAACCTTTCTGGAATGTCACGCTGACCTCGGTCCGTCTAGTCTTCTCAAACCGGAACCTGTACGTCTGGCTCTCAGCTGTGCTATTTTTAAACACCGTGTTCAAGGACAAGTTTTCGGCGCTGAATAGTAAAAAACAAAAAACAATCATAATTTCGGAAAAAAAAAACAAAAACACAAATCAGTTTTCAATTGTTGAGATTCGTAATGGCAAGTTGATCGGGGGGGGGGGGGGGGGGGGGGGTGGTGCATTAATTCCATCAATACTAGATCTGTTATGTAAATGTTAATTCAAATAATTTTTTACAAAAAAAAAATAAGAACCCCTTCCTCCCAAATGAACTTTAACCTTTTTTCTTTCCTACTGCCCTTCTTCTTTGGAGCTTCCCCCACGTCTCCACCATCGGCCGTCTTCGCTTTCTTTTTGCCCGTGATCTTCATGTTGGACTTCTGGCTTTGGCTGATGGTCTCAAACGAGAAATAGTTCTCCGGCACCTCTATGATGAACTTCTTCCGGTCCAGGAACTTCCGCTGGCAGAAGCTAAATGTGGAGCTGAAGCTGGACCATGCTCTGTGGTTGAGAAAAAAAAAGTGCATGGTTTGTAAATTTGTGGTGCAGTTGTACCCAGGGGCGTAGCAAGGGGAGGGGGCGGGGGATGCGGACCGCACCGGGTGACACCATTTAGGGGGGGGGTGACACCAAGGCAAAAATAGCAAAATATATAGAGAAAAATTTGAGGGGGGGGGGTGTGTGCAAATCGAAAGTTTGAGGGGGCTGCAAATCGAAAACTTGAGGGGGGGGGTGCAAATCGAAAGTTTGAGGGGGGGGGGGGTGTGCAAATCGAAAACTTGAAAGTTTGTCCCCGGGAAGGGTCGCTACGCCTCTGGGGGGTGACACCATTAAGTGCCGCACCGGGTGACACCCGACCTCGCTACGCCACTGGTTGTAACAACAATCAAAACGCGCAAAGCAATTTTGTCTCAGCTTACACATTGTACAATATAGTTTATTTTTATATAAAATAAATAAAGTTCCTCTTTAGACCTTTCAATCCACTGTGCAGATGAAGTAGAGTTCATGTTTCTTGACCTCGGCGTATAAAAGGATAGTGTGGCCGCTTTTACTTTCCCTAATATAAGTCAGGTACCGAACCGACATCCGACCTCGATCCCTTCGGACTAGCAGCCGAAGACTTCACAACTTATCGTCCATTTAACTATACGTAAGACACACTTAAAACTTTATCGATATAACAATCTCCAATAAAAATAAAAACCCTGACTCAAATCCTAACCATACACAAATCAAACTTTGAATCTACCCCTTACTTGATCTTTGTAGCATGCTAGATAAAAACCTTGATAACCCTGTTCTTATTTTATGTTATAGCAATTTAGCAACCCGACTATGGGTGTTTTCTTTTGAAAAAATCCCCCCCCCCCCCTTATCCGAACTAGGCGACTCCACTGAGAGTGTGTGAAAATCGGCATCTGTAGTTGCTCTATTATTACTATATCTAAACCCTAGAATATGCGCAAACGGAAAAAAACGCAAATAGAAAATGCGCAAATACTAATTATACAACTATTATACAAATACACTTTAATTTTTGTCATATTTTGTGGAAAAGTGTTTTATTATGCTACAATTTAAATGTGACAAGTCTATACTAATATTTATAAATGCTCGATTTAAGAAAATAAGAAAATAAAAATGCCCTTGCGAACTTTTTTGATGCGCATCTTTACGGTCCCTATCTAAACATGGTGTAGAAATTACTGAGAGCTTTGTTTATGTTTAGAACTCTTTTGTTCCTCACCTGTCGCTGAATATTTTCTTTATGTCGATAATCAGCGGCTTGTCTTCTTCAAATGGGGGCACAGGAAAACAGCAGAACATTGTTGAAAGACTGAAACACAAAAAACGTACTGTTTTTAAACTGCCACAGTGCTAATGTTCAACTTCTCGCGTGGGATTTATGGAAAAAACAAAAACAACAGAATCTCGCGATGTCAAGACATATTAAGACACAGAGGGATACCTTCAGCGGCGTGAACAAGGGGGTGTTAGGATATCCCCTCTCTCATAGACCTATACAACGATAGCAGTCTCATGTTAAGCTACACCTTTTAGACTTGTAGTGATCTTGTAGCTTCCGATGCTTATACTTATACGTTCTTAGTTTTGAATGTCACAAAACCATAAGTATATATATATATATATATATATATATATATATATATATATATATATATATATATATATATATATATATATATATATATATATATATATATATATATATATCTTTCAGGAAGACGCCCGGCTCCGATATATACATCCTAGCCTAACTAAACTTCCCCGGATTAGCAGATTAAAATGTGCAAGTGCTAACGATTTTATGTTTCCAACTTTTTCTTTAAAAAAGAATTAAAAGTTTTTATGACAGGTTTATTACCGAAACACCTGCAGTTTAATGCGAAGGTACATTCACACATCTTTAGAAAACAATTTCAGCCTTCATTGTCATGTTTTTCTGTGCTTCAATGGTAAGTTTTAACGTAAACATGCCTACTTTCAAGTTTCAAATATTGTCACAATTTTTTGGTTGAAAGGGGAGGTGGCGGGGGGGGGGGGGGATTGATAGTCTTCTTATTGTTTGCGAGGAAGTGTGTGTAAAAAAAGCCCCACTAGTTTGTGGGCGGCAGATTTTTGGCTCCCGTGTAAAGAGGACGTCTAATGGGCGTCTCCCATATATGGCGTCACACCCTTAGGATTGGGTTCTGACATTTTGTTTTGAAGAGTCACGTGGGAAAGGTGTGAGTAATAAAAGTGGCGCGTCGTAATCTTTGTATATATATATATATATATATTTTTTTTAATGATGAGAACAAATGTTTATCCTAGCTAGTACTCTGATTGTAATAGTAACAATTACAACTTACTGAAGTCCTTTCTGTAAGAGGGTTCGTTTTTTTTTGTAACCGATTATGTGGAAGGGGGGGGGGGGCAGCCAATATAGTAGCACATTACTTGTTAACAACCCAATAGATAAATATTGGATGGAAGCTTACAAACACTCGCCTTGATATATATATATATATATATATATATATATATATATATATATATATATATATATATATATATATATATGTAACGAGTCCCCGAGTCTATCCTGCCGACAACGCCAAATGTAACGAGTCTCTGGCTACCCTGCCGACAACGCCAAATGTGACCTTCCCGAGTCTAACCACTCATTCCACACAACATTGACCACAGCATAGATACTCGAAGATGCAGGTTCATTATTGATCCTTTTATTACATGAATCAAAGAATGTTTCACAATAATATAATGAATCAAGAGAGATGTTTCACAATAATAGTCTGAATCAACGGACCCCCAACAGTCCTCACTAGGCTTCATCTAACTGAATACACATGTCTAACGTCCTTCTTAACACAATACGGCTAACCCGTTCAATAACCAACTGCCACACTGACTGACTGATCGAAAGCGAGCGAGAGAGAGAGACTCACTGACTCACTGACTGCCAGCTCAGCCGTCGCCTTCCTTATTTATCCCCTTCATATCCGTAATCATATTCGGTCCTATCATACTCGTAATCGTAATCGTTGCATTACGCCGCTTCTGTTGTACAGTCCGATTTAATAAGCCATCTGCATCCTGTCACATCAAAGTTGACAGACCGTCTTTCGTATCGCTTCCCGAGATACTACGCCCTGGCTTTCTGATCGTTATCAGCCACCACCTGTGTTATTACATCAGTCGTGTCAAAGTTGACAGCGCTGTACCGCTTTCTTATGTCTGGTAACTTCCCCTAGTTACATCCACCCCTGCCTTTTTTTGTGTGTTATCAACCACAAACAACGCCCGGCAGGTGCAGTCCTTCAAAGTCCATCGCACCACCGTAAAAAAAATCCATTGTTCCACTCACTGTCAATGTCGTCACATTCGTATAAGATTGACCGTTATCCCTATTTCACATATCAAATGTGTCTACATCATCTTCCTCAGACACAAAACAGTTCTAGAATTCACATCCACCTTTTTTCGTCTGGTGCCTTCACCAGTTCACTTTTATGACTTTTTGAACAGTCTGTTCTCATACCAGCGCGACCATGAAAGAATTGATGGTTGCTGACAAAAAATTTCGTATTCTTTCTGTTTCTCAAACTTCTCCGCGGACCACTTAACTGATGGTCTACTGTCTCTCTGCTTTTGGAGGGACCGGGATCCTCCTTGTTGCCGGTATCCTCCCCTTGTGTGTCGCTGATGTTCTGTTGATGGTGACATGGTTCCGGGATGGGTATGTGAATTTCCGTTATAGTTTCCGGTTCCCTAATTGTCTTGGATTTCCTTGTGTGTAACTGCTCTTCTTGACTATGACAATATTTCTTTAATTGAGCAATATTCGCCCACCGATCCGGTTTGGTGTGATCGATGGGTCTTATCTTAAAGGGGCCACCTGCTACTTTAGGCATCTCCACGACTTGCCATATCTCCTGTCCCCAGAGGTCGTGGATTTTGTTTCTGCCTAACGGGTGGCTACGCAGTAATACCCTGTCGTTCAGTTTGAGTGGCGGGTCCTTTGTCTGTACCGGCGGTTCCCTTCGCCGTGCTTCATGTTCTAGTCTTTCCTGTACTACCCTGTACATTTCTCTAATTCGTCTCATATGTTCATTCACATATTCCAGTGCAGTGTATGAGCCAGTCATACTCTCCTTTTTTCCTAGGAACAAGTCAAGGGGGAGTCGAGCCTCCCGTCCGAACAGCAACATGTATGGCGAAAAGCCGATTGTGGCATGGGGGGTGCAGTTGTATAGATATACCAACTCTGGGAGAAAATCAGGCCAACGTTTTTTCTGTTCAGGTTCTAGAGTACGCAGCAAATCATGCATGCTGCGGTTGAACCGCTCGCACTGTCCGTTTCCTTTCGGATTAAATGTGGTTGTTCTAGATTTGTTGATCCCGTAGTGGCTGCACAGTTGGTTAATTACTTCTGACTCAAAGGCCCTTCCTTGGTCAGAGTGTAATTGTCTTGGTATGCCATATTTGATGAACCAATGTTCTATTAAGACCTTTGCCACTGTTTTGGCAGTCTGATCTCGTGTGGGCACCGCCACAGTCCATTTGGTGAAAACATCAGTCATTACCAACACATGTTCCGTCCCATCCGATGATTGCTCCAACGACGTAAAGTCCATAGCCACAATCTCTAGTGGTTTTGTCGCTAATAGGTGTCCCGATGGCTGTCTCATTTTGACAACTGGCATTTTCGCATGCTGACACCTCACACAAGCCTCACAATGGCGTTTGACCTCCATTTCCATATTGGGCCAGTAACACCTCCGTCGTAATATTTTGTGCGTCCTGTCCTGACCCTGGTGTCCTGCCCTGTCATGTGCCAACCTTAGCACTTCTTCTCGTAATTGTCCAGGCACCACCACCTGGTGTATTGTCCCATCAATTTGGTCATGAATTCTCCGCATGAGAACACCATCCTGTATACTGAGACGGTCCCACTGACTCAGTATTTTCTTTGTTTCTCGACCAAATTGTTCTCTTTCCCTTCTTCCTGGGAATTTTTGTTCCTGGACGTGTTTCAACAGCGGCTGTAAGCCACTATCCGTTCTCTGGGCATTTCTTATCTCTTTGTGATTAAGGCAATTAAAATCACCAATGTCCATATGTCCGGGCTCTGTGGAAATGTGCTCCACCCCGGTCTGTCCGTTCTGCCTCACTTGCACCCCGTGAGGGATATCTGTTGACGCTCTGACCTCACATATTCCTGTCAGCGTTTCTTCCTCATCGCCCGGTCTCTCGTAAGGATTCCTTGATAAGGCGTCCGCATTGCCATTGGACCGCCCCGGGCGATATTTTATCTCTAGGTCAAAGAGTGCCAATTCTGCTGCCCATCGCTGTTCGATGGATCCCAACTTTGCTGTCTTTAGGTGACTCAAGGGGTTATTGTCAGTGTATACCACACATTTAGCACCTAATAGATAGTCCCTGAATTTTTCCGTCACAGCCCATTTTAATGTCAAAAGTTCTAGTTTCATGGCGCTGTAATTTGTCATGTTCTTCTCTGATTCCTTCAGAGCTCGACTGGCATAAGCAATAACCCTGAAACCTTGCTTTTGTTGTTGTGATAGCACAGCTCCCAGACCTTTAGAGCTGGCGTCAATTTCTAGCCGAAATGGTTTGTCAAAGTCTGCGTATCCTAATATCGGCGCCTCTGTCAAAGCCTTTTTCAATAGCTTAAACGAGTTCAGGCATTCATCAGTCCATAATTCACCTATCAGTTGTGTTTTACCTTTCTTTTTCTCCTTACTGTGTTTCTTTGTCATTTTGTTTACCAAGTCATGCAATGGTGCGGCAATTTTTGCAAAACCAGGCACAAATTTTCTATAATAGGAAGCAAAGCCCAAGAATGATCTGACCTCTACCGTAGTTGTTGGCTGTTTCCATTCTTTAACAGCTGCAATTTTATCTGGGTCAGTGGCGATGCCATCCGACGAAATCACGTAACCCAAAAAATGTACCGATTTCAGACCGAAGCAGCATTTGTCTGGGTTCAGCTTTACTCCTATCTCCCTAAGACGGAGAAACACTTGTTCTAATCTTTCTAGATGGTCCTCCCAAGTTTTTGAATAAACTAGTATATCATCCAAGTACACCAACATTATTTGAAATAGAAAGTCACTCATAGCACTCTGCATTACTCGCTGGAATGTAGCAGGTGCATTAGTTAGACCAAACGGCATACGGGTCCACTCGTACAGTCCCAGTGGAGAAATAAATGCAGTTTTATGTTGATCGTTGGGGTGCATGGCCACTTGGTGGTAGCCACTAGCCAAATCCAAGGTAGAAAAAAATCTTGCT